TAATGGCATCTGATCTGAATCATATTGCCATTTATGTCTGTTAATTGTTTTCATAATAAAATTCTGTTTGACATTGTGAATTTGAATAAATGTATTCAGTTATTCAATCGTTTTCCAAGTGCCTGGAATATACAATGTTCCAGTGTCTACTTCTGATTCTGACGGGATTGGCGTCGTCGTTTCGGTATACTTTTCTGTTACGAATTGCTCGGAAGCGGAGAGCACAAGAATTTGTCCAAACGCAATTATATTTAATGTTTATTCTGCTTGTTCGTTAAACGTTGGAATGATCATTAAAAGTAAATACACCTTACTGATGTACACGCTCAGCGCTTGTTGTATTCCATTATCTGCTGAACAATTAAAAGGTTTTTTTATTAACAGTTTTGGAACTTCAAAATTGTACCATGTTATTCAATTTGATTGCTCGGTTCTTACTCGGTTTCTTCGGAGAATAGATGATTTTTTAAAGAAATTTGTATGCCAGCAAAAACCGTTGATATCGTATTGTTTCCAAAATATTTATTGGAATTTGTTGTTTACCGTATAATTTTTCCTATCTTATTGAAAATAATTTTATTTGAGGATTAAGTATCAGAGGGTGAATATTGTCTGCTTTTAAGGGGGTATTCTAGTGTAGAAATTTCAAAAAATCGATTTTTTTTTATTTCATATTTTTAAAGTTTAATTATCTAAGAATATGGGTACGAGAAGTTTTTGAAAATTGGAATTATTTTCGGAGATATAGGCATTTTACTGACTCGGTCTCCATACTAGTTTGGCTTCACGCAAAACTTCAAATGCGTTTTTCTTAGAAGAGACTTTTTCAGTACTGTTGACACGATTTCTCGAGTTTTATTCGACCGATTTACTTGAAATGTTCAGAGAGTCTTGTTTATAGACCTATCTATAGCCCGAACTAAGATTATCCCCAAATTCCAATTTTTACTATTTTTAAAAAATTCGAGAAACTCAAAAAAACAGTAAAAAACACTTTTTTTTTAAACAGTCGCCAAATTGTAAAAAAAAAATTTACTCATCGCTAGTAGTATTAATCATTGTAGATTAATAATCTTTTTATTTTTTGCATTTCCGATGGCTAGGAGGGCTGAAATCATGTCAAGACTGAAGTGCCATTTTTTTTAGACCACCCACTTTAACAGCTGCCAGTTTGTACAATTTTCAACTTTTTTATTTTTGTTTTGTATTTTAATAATGTTAATAAACAAGTGGTAAAAAAACTGATAGTAAAAACATTCATTGCTTTCCTTTACGACACTTTAAAAATGACCTAAAATTCATAGCTCTACACTAGAATACATCCTTAAACTTCTTATGAAATAGGTTAAATAAACGCACGAAAATGAAAATTTTAATATTTATTTACGTTCAAAGCAACCCGAACATTGTAGCAAAAAATTGATGTATGTATATTTGTGCGCGTATGTGTGTGGATTCAATTTTTGTCAACGATTTCGAGAGCACAGATCAACCGATTTGAGTTATTCAAAAAACCTTCAATTACTTTGGCTGATTAACTTTGGCAGAGGCAAGTTCAGTCGTATCAAAGATAAGGGACAAAAAGTGCTAAAAATGGCAAGTCGGTTTGAGAGAACGGAGCGTTCGATTTGAATAATTCAAAAAACATTTTATTTATATTGATGGACTGAATAATTGATCAAATTTTTGTTTTGACAAGATTTGAAAAATGCCATTTGTCGGTCTAAAGGATCATTAAACCATATGCACATCAAATTATCAGATATTTAATAGATATTTTAAAAATAAGTACAATTTTTGTTTACAGAACCGTATCAAGATTTATAATATTTAACCTTTAGACTATGACGCGACGCTTACGCGCGTCAAAAGTTTTCAAAAAAATATATGATTAAAAAAAATTCGCAAAAAAATGTTTTCTCAAATGTTTCAAAAATGTTTAAAGCTTTCAAGAAATTACGGTATGCAAAGTTCCAGCAATTTGCCATGCACCACTAGTCCTGAATTATTTCTGCACTACTATTTAAAAATGTCTTATATGTATAGTTATATAGTATCTCGAATGCGATGCAGAAAAGTTTATCTTATATTTGTTGTTCCAGGTTACGCTCTCGGACCCTTCTCGGTGGCAAGCAGTACGGGACAGTCCGTCGTGTCCTGGTCCTGATGAGATGGGGTCCGCAGGTTGCCACCAAGTACGGCTGATCGCGTTCGTGTCGTGCCTGATGGCATGCTACGCGCCCATCGGCCACTGCCAGCGTCCCAACCCGGAACAGATGGCCGGACGACGACTCGATGTCTACATTGCCGGTTTCTTTCCCTTCGGACCGGGAGTCGAACATTCTGCTACTGGTGAGATAACAATCTCTCTTATCAATTTATTACGGAAAATATATGTTTGAAAATATATGCTAAGATGACTCAAAGATCACATTTTACAATACTTTACTGTAATACTTTTTAGTCTCCTATTGCATTGCTGTAGTTGGATGTCCTTATTTATGTAATAAGACACGCTCATGTATTGACCACATTTTCTATATTTTATATATTTACCCTTTTTTAAGTATATTGTGGTTACATTTTTATGTTTTTACCCATATTTCAAATAATTTTGTAGTATTTGGTTATTCTTATTATCATATCTGTTCAAAATGGAATTCATCTTTATTGTAAAACGTTAAATTACAATTAAGAATAGTATTTCACCACGGACATGGCAGACCTAATTATTTTCGAAAATCATAAAATGTATATAAGTTTTAATTTACATTTGCTCTCCAAAGAATCTGTACAATTGTGAAATAAAACTTTGCTTTAAGTCAAGATGCTAATTAAGCACGCCATAATTACTATTGCAAAAGTTTAATACTGTCGCAAAATGACTTCATATTATACATGTACAGGAATACATCGTGATTTGGAACAAACAAATTGTTAGAAATAGTTATAATATGGTAACATAACAACAAATTCTGATACTACTCGTGAGATTTTAATTATTTTTAGATTCTTGTAATTATAAAGTTATTTCTGAAAATATACTGAATATCTCATATAACCGAATTCTGCATTAATTATTAATTACAATTATTAATTATTGTTACACGTTAAATTTTAATTACAAAAATTGTTTTGTTGCGAACACCGCGGAACTAATTATTTAAGAAAACCACAAAATTGATATAAGTCTTAATTTGAATTCGCTTGAAGACAAAACTTTGCTACAAGTAAAGCATGATAATTAGGCATGCCATAATTACTATTGCAAAAGTTTAATATTGTCGCAAAGTGAATCTATTTTATACATATATAGAAATACGTTGTGATGGAAAACAGAAATGCACTGTGATAGAAAGCGTTTTCGAACAAGTAAGTTAGGAATTATTAATATAATAATGAATTCAAACTACTCTATGATATGCGATTACTATTGTTCCAAGTTCTCTCTCTTTATTTTATCACACTCAAACTTGTGCATCAAAGTTTCTAGATCATATACATGTTCCGGCTTTCAGTTTTTTATTTCATTTGTAGCACAAGTAATCCATCATCCAATTTCTAATTTCTAACTTAGTTAATTAATCCTTTAGTCTTTTCCACTTTTCAAAATTTTCCAGTTTTGTCTCTTGTTCATAGAGCGCTTATATTAACGCAATTCCTGTATTTCTATATTTATGCAAAACAAAATTTATAACTGGTGGCTGATGGGAATCGATCCCAGTATTAGTTTGTGCTAGCCCACGTCCTTAACCATTGCATGACGGGCTCATATTTATAATATTTGTGGGAGTCGTAATGATTATGATAATATATTAAATTAGAAACTCCCAACATAATAAAAAAATATAAATTTATTAACTATAAAAATATTACGATATCAAAAATATACATGACATGTCCCATTGTTTTTTACAAATAAAAACCAGCCTGCTTGATATCGCCACACACTCCCTGCCCAGTGTTGATCTCACAGTTTAAAAAAAAAAAACACAGGGAAACACGTTATAAAAATGTGGTGGGAAAGCAGATTATAGCAGACCAGTGTTGTAATACTGGTTAATCACAAATTTCCATGTTTCGTCAGCAGATCCACCGTATGTGGTGATTCGACCTGCCATCAACTCCATATTCTGCATAAGGTTCTGATTAATGAAAAACTGTGGAAAATTTCCTGTACCTCGATGTCGGTGAACTTCTAAGATTCAGCCTCCATCTAATTGGTATTAGTTATATCAGAATTACTTAATGTTTAGAATGCATAATTTATGGGTACAGTTTCCATTTCTGCAAGCGTTGCATTCGTATCTGATGAGTTCCGATCAGAGAAAGAAGTTGGCTCTTTATCCAAATCAGGATCATTGGTTTCTTTGACATAAGAGTCCAGAATTGTGAAATCCAATAAATTATATCAAATTTTGTTTTGACTCGTCGTTGTCACCGATAATGGGAGGTAGCATTATAAGACGATTTGTTGAGTTAACAGAGAAAGAGAGGTTAAATTGCATTCCAATGAAAAGTTCAGGCTCCAATTATTTTTTCTGTCAGCAAAAAAAAAAACTGAGGTCTGGGTATACCAAATGAGTAACCTCGGAAGTCTGATCCAGATAGTAAGTGCGTTAACTATGATGGATTGGACTGGACGTACCTTATAGGTCGTCTCTGAAGACCAGTGATTATGGTGCTGCGTCAAAATCATTTTTTCTTAAATCTTCGAAAAATAAAACTCCTTTATCTTCATCTCCATCGTCGTGAGTCACCAATGTGGGAGTTTTAATTAATATTAAAGTATAAACTCCTGACATATAAAAATATATAAATTTATTAACTATAAAAATATTACGATATCAAAAATATACATGACATGTCCCATTGTTTTTTACAAATAAAAACCAGCCTGCTTGATATCGCCACATATTATTGCAATTTGCATTTTTCTCATAATGTTCTATCACCGTGTATTTCTATACATGTAGATTCACTTTGTTATAGTATGTAATTATGGAATGCTTAATTATTATGCTTTTTTTAAGACAAAGTTTTGTCTTGATCGTACGGATCCTTTGAATAGTAAATGAAAATTATGTCAGTGAATTTAAACTTACGTAAATTTTCTAGGATGTACATTGATAAACAATCTTCGTAATTTCATTTAAACAATTAATATGATTTTGAAGAGATCCTTTAAATAAGGACAACCGAATACTACAAAGTTATTCAGAAAGTGGGTTAAAAACATAACATAAAAATGTAATAACAATATATTTGCTTTTTGCCAATCTTGCTACTCATATAAGACACCTTGTATTTTATTGTACTGTATCACTATGCCTGGGTCTGGGTCTGGTTCTGGGTCGTCGAAGAGGCGTGCGTCGTGCGATTTGACCTGATAGTTGATATCTGAAAGACGATAGACGCCGCCGTCAAACAAACCGTCCGCGACACTTCCGACCAGCAAAAGACAATGAAATTAACGAGTCGCGAGCGCGACGTGCCGCGAATGGCACGCGATTTCCGATTACGATTTCGATCTCGATTCCGATCTCGAGCTTTGTTTGTTCGAAATATCACGCTCTTTATCTTATCTATTTATAGCCGAGCGGCGATCTTCTTTAGTTTTGACTTATATAACAAAACGGTATTTTTTTTTGTTTACAAATTAAACACCAATTAGAATCTATATATTCTATAAGCTTTCAGGATCTACGTGAACTCAAAATGTTTGAGTGTGAAATTTTCAAAAAATCGAATTTTCAATTTTTCCATATTTCGATAGGTTATACCTTTAAAAATAACATACCAAATTTTAAATCGATTATCTTAAATAGTTTTTGAGTTACAGCCATTAAAATAGTATATATATAGTATATAGTATAACGATCATTTTATGTTTAACAGCGTTTTTTCTCGAAACAGAATTTTCCGAATTTGCTGCAGCGATTACTCAAAAACAAATGATCTGATCACTATCAAATTTTTTTACATGTTCTATATATAGTTCTCCGTAAAATGAACTATCGATTTTTTTATTGGATCAAAAATCGAATTTTGGCAGTCCAAAAATGACCAAAATTTTGAGTAAAATTCGACTTTTTTTAAAAAAAACGCCGTCATTTTGTCAATTTTTTTTTTTTTTCTATATCGTAGTTCATTTTACAGACAATATTATCTAGTTTAACGATTTTTTTTTTTTAAATTTCATCCACGTAGAAGGCCGGAATCACTACAGCAGTGAAGGGCCCTTTTTTGTCGCGCCGTTGGAGATCGACGATAACTTAAAAAATATTTAATTTTTTTCTTCAAAAATTTTACTATGCATTCTAAAAACATGTATAAAATATTCCTAAAATTTTGAAATGATAGATAAAGTAGTTTTTTTTAATATAAATTCCCAAAAATCACCTTTTTTTAGGCGGTTACTCTAGTTGTGCCCCTTAAGAAACTCTCCAATGAGAGCCCTAATTACTTACAGTAAATCGATGTGTTGTTTTTCTTCAATCTTCTCCTTGTATTCGAAGATTCAGCGGTGAATGTGACTACAGCATTTCCGTGGTTTCTGAGACGGTCAAGATGGGATATGCATCTATTTTTTATTACTTCGTGTACTGAAGTGAGTCCATTTGAAGATCGTTATGAATAATTTTGTTTGAGACGTACCAGGGCGGCTTTGGATATCAATCTTAAGGCTTTTGACTGTAGTCTCTGGACACAGGCTTGATCAGGAGCTTGTTGTCAAGTGAGAGTTTGGATTTCCGGCCCAATATCTACTAAAGTGATTTAACTCTTTTATCGATTTGTTTACATTATAACTGAAATTGGGCACAGATTTCACAGAAACTATAGCAGTATTTTTTTAAGTTCAATTTAATGTATGTTTAATTTTTTTATGTTTAAGTTTTGCCAAAAAATACAATTTATTAATTTTATTTTCTCGACGTTTTAAGTTATTTTGAATTGAATGAGAACAAACTTGGATTAAATATGAGTGTGTATATTTGATCTTTAAATTAAAAGCCATTTGGTAAAACTAGATAAGATTTCGGATCGATTAGTTATGCACACGAGTATTGGTTCAGCCATTTCCTTACATTTAGCATAAAAATTGGCAAATTATCAACGTTTTTGCAAAAAATGCTAAACCGATTTTGAAAATTTAAGATAGCAGTAGGAAATCGTGCTGATTAATGATGTCATTTTTGGATCGTATGCTCAGTGATCTAGACGTCATAAAAATACCGCAACCTAATAATTTCAAAAGATTTAATCATACTAAAATGTCAGAGTGATATCAAGAAACTATTTTTTTATTGCATATAAAGACGAATAGAGCAATTTTATCACTCGCAGCCTATGACTTACAAGATGTTTTGGCCGCTGGTTTCTATATATAAAACGCAATATACTGAAAGTTATATAGTATTATTTTATATATTTGAACAGCAATAAGAACTATGTATTATATAAGATTTTGTGATGTACATTCTTCGACTAGCCTTTTAGAAGGCGCATATGTTTTTATTGAATCAAATATAAGTACAAAACAATTAATTTTAACTATATTAAAGAATATTTTGTTTATTGGTATATTTTTTGATAGTTGAACTGAATTAGTTTGATTCAGTCAATAACCAAAACATTAAAGCGCCATGAGAATGCAATATTATAGCATCATAACCTATCAACAAAATGATTACTTTTTTCCTTTAAAAAAGTTTCAAGTAAATACATACAATTAACCTCACCCTTACAAGTACATTTCAATCGATCTGTAAACCAGGACATGGTTAATTACATACCTCAAATATTCAGGTATAACTTCAACAAATCAACTAGTATTTGAATTAAATTCTAGCTTTGAACTAAATTTGAAGTTAAGCTGGCTTGTCAACGGTTTTGTTTCGGAATGAATCCTTGGGTATTGTTAATTAAGGACCTCATTTCGCATTCTAATCCTGTGATCTTAGAACCAAAGCCCCAGGAGCCATCTAAATAATATACGATAGACCACAACACAAATTTGTATATATATTTATATATATATATATATATATATATATATATATATTCAATGATAAGTCCTGGATTTTTTCAATATATTGATTGTTTCTTTTCCGAACAGTAAATCCAATAATGAAAAACAATTTGTTTACTGAAGATGTTTAATAACGACGTTTCGGAACAAGATACGTTCCGTCATCAGGTTTATTCTGTCAAAGACAATGTTTTTTAATTGATTGATTAACATTAATTAATGATGAGTATTACAGATTATTTAGAAAAATTATAAAGGTAGGGATTATGTACTAGTGTAAAGAGTATAAAATTAAAAGTTATTATATATATATATATATATATATATATATATACAGGTTTAATAGACAAATAATTAATATTGTATTGCCAATGTTTGTTGTTTGTCCATCGGTTACAGATGTTTGTAGAAGACTATTGTGCGTATGTTTGTGCAATAAAATTTTAATGTTATCATTCTATTTTATTATGCATACATATATATGCACATATATACTATATATATATATATATATACATATATATATATATATATATATATATACAGTATGGTATGTGTGTGTGTGTCAGTAACCCATAAAGATTGGTATTCATTGTATAATTAAATATTCGACAATAGATCCAAATATACAATTTTATTATATATTAGTATATTATTAATACATAAGTAATATTTAATTTTAAATTGAGCTTATTCTGGATTTGCTTTTGGAAGTTTAGAAAAACTACGTTTTTTCTAAAATTTCTGTCACGAAGTAATGCTTTAATTTTTAATATATGTAGTGGTCTTCTATATTTTTCCTATATACTATTTAATAATATAATTTATTATGTAATAACAAATTACTAATTTAATTATATTGTTATTTGTACGATTTGTAAGTTATATATATATACATAAAATACACACACATAATAAATAAATCACAGTAACTATCATCATTTTGTGTGTAATATAGTATGTTACGAAAAAGTAAAAATAATAAGATCGTTATTAATTGAAAATTCTACAAAAAATCATCAATCAATTTTCAATATTATAAATCTATTACGCTAGCTATACGAGGTGTGTTCAAAAAGTACCCGGAATTACTAATAATTAAATTTCGCGGGTCTGGAGTGTCTGATTGTCAAAATTTTTTTTTATTGTGTTGGTATACATGCCCCTAAAGTATGATGAAATTTTCAGCTATATTCACTGTTTACTTTGTCTGTGGTAGTCGCTAAGGTTCGACGTGTTTTTCTGAGCTCGGCGATTTTTACAATGGAAGAATTGAAAAGTCAAAGAATTTGTATTAAATTTTGCGTAAAAAATGAAATAAAGTGTTGCAAAGTGCAAAAATTCACCAGATATGGCTCCGTGTGACTTTTTCCTATTCCCAAAGTTGAAGAGACCCATGAAAGGACGGCGGTTTTCTTCGATTGAAGAAAATCGCTGAGAGTGCTCAAGGACATATCAAAAAGTGAATATCAAGGGTGCTTCAAAAATTGGAAAAAACGCTGGCATAAGTGTATTATATCTGGGGGGACTACTTTGAAGGGGACCACATTAATGTAGACGAATAAATAAATATTTTTTTGAAAAAACGAAAATTCCGGGTACTTTTTGAACAGACCTCGTATATGCAGCGATATATAATTCTACATTGCTAATTTATACAAATATTTTGACTGTGGGAAAAGAAATTTAAAAAAATGCCTAAAATTGTATAGTGTTGTTTGACCTTATACACTTTCTTAAATTCAAAAGAACAAAATTTATAGAATTAAGTATTATTGTTTTAATTTAATTATTTTTGTAAAATACTATTTTTCAAATATGATAACTTATATTAGGTCTATTACAGCATAGCCTCGTACAAAATGATTGTGTTTTATTACCCCGTACACTGACTATATTTACAAGACGGTTCAATTTATTTATTTTTATTAAAATATTTATTTATATTGGAATGAAAAGATGAAGAGTTAATTTGAATTGTATGTATTTATTTGTTCCAGGCCGCGGTGTGATGCCCAGCGTCCGTTTGGCTATCGACCACGTCAACGAGCATAATGAAGTCCTGCGGAACTACCGTCTGCACATGTGGTGGAACGACACCAAGGTCAGTAACTCAAATCACATCACATCCACATCAGACCAAGGCAAAGGCAAAGGCAAAGTCAATCGATCGCAAAATTAATTATTACAAACAGTTCGACACAATTACTTTCTATGTTGCACACTCTTATTAAGATTCACTTTTGATTAAATAACATAATAGCACATGTGCTACGTTTTTTTGAGTCATGCAATTTGTTTCCTCGTGCATTTCATTATTTTTTTATATCAGAACTATGTATTTAACGAGCGGTTTTGTTATGTATTTTCTACTACCTCTCTTTATTAGGAGGTAACGCTATGGTTGTCCTTTCTATCTATGATGAAATTTTTACTTTCGTATGTGATATATTGCCAAAGGGTAGTTTTACTCAAAAATATATTTGGGTCTATATTTTTGTATATCACTACTCAGGTTGTATGCTTGTATGTAGCGCAAGATTTTTAGTAGTTGCAAGACTGAGGCTCTGATCTCTGTATTACGGTCGCCTTTAGTATTTCAATATAAAAATCTCAATAATTTAACATCATTGTATTTAATGTATGAGCCAAGAGTCAATATTGTGTCTGTCGTCGATAGCTTATTGGTTTTCTAGCTAATTGCAATAGCAATGGCTAATGTCGGATATTAATACAATTTATAGAACAAATTCATTTAGCCTATCGAGTTACTAACGATATAATTAGAAAAATTTTAATAATTACGAAAATACTGTGTGGTTGTAAGAAAAGTGATGTCCTCATCACCTTAGCACAAATCATTTTTTATTGACTACAATTTAGAACTTCGGTACTTAAGTATACTTACTTTCGGTTTTCAATCTAGTAACATGTGTATTAATAAATTCGTAGTCGAATCGGGAAGGCAGTTGCGGCGGATTGTTTTATTTGACATAATCCGTCCAATGCCTGCCCGGCTCGAATGCAAATGCGAACTATATTTAAGTGTGGACGTCAACTGTAATCAGTAGCTACTTACGAAACACAACATAATGTGCATATGCTTTGGTATAGATTCTGATTAGAACTAAACTTTAATGCATTTTTATAATTCAAGCGCTTATCGTAGGCCTATAATATTTTAGTATGTTATTTCAGACTACAAGATCAAACGATATACGAAACGGTCCGGCCTATCTATATCAAAAACTAATCAACGCGAATCAATATCTTTCGAACAGTTTTTGAGTTTATAAACTCGATTAAAAATTGTGGAGGAAAAATTTTACGCTTTTCTGTCAATTACAAAGAAATAGTTAGAAAGCGCTAGTCCTTATCGTTTTTTAAATCAGTCCAGCCGTTTTTGAGAAAACGTCGACAAAAGGCCAAAAATCGGCTCACACATACACGCATACTTTTTGCAAATTTGATCTCATTCGAATAAGAATAACGAGAAAACATAAAATTAGAAAATTAGATTTTTTTGCGAAAACATAAACTTGCTCTTTGGAAAGTTAATAATAATCTAGCAAAAAATATATTGTATTTTCGTTTTCGGCACTAATACTAGTGAAATTTTCCGGTTCATTTCTTGATATCGATACGTATTACATAAATCTGATTCCCGGCAAAGTTGAAATGAGAAGTGGCAAGACATGGCGAATCGGCGATCTCATAATATTTATTTCATACTAGGAGAGGGAAAAATAGCGTTATCGTCAGAACACGCACTGGATTATGTCAATTCGGGATGCTGGGCCGATGTTGATGTTGATGGCGATGGTGATGGTGATGGTGATGGTGATGCTACGAACGACCTTTTAACTCACAAATACCAATTACGTGAAACCTAGTCTTTGTCATTACATTTATTGAAAAAGTTATCACAAATTACTGCGAGGGTGTATATTATACGGTCCATCTCTATAAGATATAACTTGATTATTTCGGGAAAAGGTTAAATATAAACACAAAAATACTTTTTACCTTCTCGTAGAGTTTTAATAATAGCAAAAAAATCGAAAATGGAAACTTTTGCATATTTTAACGTTTCAAAGTCTTACAATTAAAAAAAATGGATGATACAAAAAATTCTAAAAAAACTTCAAAATTCTCAAGAAAATCTTTTTAAAACATTTGGAAAAAATTAATAAATTAAGTTACGGTGAGTCCGTTTTCGTTACGCCATAAGGCACGATGCTTTGAACCACCAGTTCCAAATTTCGTCACAAACGATCAAGAATAACTTGAAACGTTGATAAAATATAAAGTTAGCAAATCCAGCTAGTTGATAATTATTTTATTCATATAAAATTTGTTTATAGAATGAGAAGTTCCATCACTTTCCCTTAAATCAATGCCATGCACTTGATATTATTAAGCACGTGAATAAATCTGCCAATTTAGTTGCACAAAGCAAGGCGCCAAAGGTAACGAATGCTCCTGTGTGCGTGCACGCATAAATTCTGTTGTATACCGATAGCGCACACCATACACTGTACAAGTGTACACCGTTCATATAATATGAGCCTGAGCTATATATTATATTGTGCCTACATATAATAGTACTCGTACTCGTAGTCGTAGGTAGGATATCTCTCGCGTGTTTGTTTGCGTGCGGACAAGGACGTAGCGTTGACGCGATCCGCGTGCCGCGGAAGGAGGGCTACGTGTGCGGCGAAATCAATAAGTTGCCCGTAGGCTACTACACGAACGACTGAACGACTGAACGACTGAATGGGGCGGAGAAGGAACAGGCTTCTCCGGAGAAACAGACGATGACGATCGACGGTACAGCGGCACCGGTACAGCGGTACAGCGGTACACGACGGGACATCTCAAAGGGTTTCTTCTCATAAGATGACTCCAACTTTTGAGAGAACGAAATATAATTATGTGCAAGTTATTTATTGTTTAAATTATCTTCTTATATATAAAAATAAGTCGGGTTTTCCTTCCTGACGAAATAACTCCAGAACGCACGAACCGATTTCGACAATTTTGCATTCGTTAGAAAGGTCTCGGGCTCCGCAAGGTTTATAGCTAAGAAAATTAGTCGTGCATGGCATCGCGCCCTAATGCAAATTGCTGGAACTTCATGCACCGTAATTAAAAATTCGAGTAATAAAAATAATCAACATGTTCTATATATATATAAAAATAAGTCGGGTTTTTCTTCCTGACGAAATAACTCCAGAACGCACGAACCGATTTCGACAATTTTGCCCTACTGCAAATTGCTGGAACTTCACGCACCGTAATTAAAAATTCGAGTAATGACATTAGTGAGAATTATCAGAATTATGCTTGGTTAAGCATAATTCTTGCCGCAAAGAATAATGATGTACACGCACTGAATTTCACCATTCAATAAAAAATTGCTGGCGATTTGGTGACATACCAATGATTCCGACTGGTCTTCCGTTTGACTTCAAACGATTGCAATTTCCAGTTTGCCTTGCATTCGCAATAACAAGTCGCAAGGCCAATCGCTTAGTGTTTGCAGGATAAATTTCAAATAGATCATTTAAAAAATCATTGTTTTGCACATGGGCAGTTATACGTTGCCTGTTCACGAGTTGGAAAACCATCCGCTTTGTTTGTGTTAACGTCAGACCAAAAAACAAAAAATGTGGTTTACCAAAGAGCACTTCAATGAAACGGATAATTTGTGGATTCACTTTCATTTACTTAGAAAAGTTCAACTAAAAAACACTTCATTTTTGTAATCGAAATAAATTCATTACTGTTGTATAAGATCAAATTTTTCCTTATCAATTATAAAACAAACAAAAAATTTCTTCATCTTTCTCACGAAAGGTGGCGAAACGAAGTTCGTCGGGTTTGCTAGTCTTATATATAAAAATGGAACGCAAAATGTGTTGGTAAGCGCATAACTCAACAACGCCTGGACCAATTTGGCCAATTATTTTTTTTAAATCTTCATTGAAGTCCAAGGATGGTTCTTACGGCGAGAAAAAATCGAATAATTGCCGGAAAAACCATAAAAACGGCTCTTTTGTTTTTCTCATACATACGTTTACAATATATGTGGGAATCAAGTAGGCAACGGAATTTGTAGAAAAAACAATTATTCATGTCATGACATTGTGTGTAGTTTTTGATAATCTAATTTTTAATATTTTTATAAACATAAATATTTTTCTATTAATTTACGAGCTATATTGGCAGCCAAAACATTGATGTAAATGAAATAAATTTCAAAATTCAAAAACGAATTGCAGGCGAATCGAGGATACACGTATATAAAGCAGTTGATTCGGCAACTAACCTAAGACGATATAGTTAACTATCCACCGGAAGTAACGCCAAGTAATCAAACAAAAAACATCGTTTATCACAAAGCACACTGAAAATAGAACTGATTTTTGAATTATGATTTACATGATTAAAATTACTTACTTTTAAATGCTTATAGTGTTTTATTTAATTATTTTTACACACCGAATTATTACCAGGGTGGCCGTTCTGTTCAGGATAATTTTTTGAAAAGAATATAAAAAAGGCAGGAACAAAGCACCGCCACATCACAAATTTTTTTGACGGGACGAAGTCTGTCGGGTCGGCTAGTTATATAATAGAAATTGTAGGATAAAAAATGAATTTAAAATACAGAATCTTCTAACCATCTCAAAGATTTTGCGGCTGACACATATTAATTTTACATGACTTCTTTTCAATTCTGGTAGTGATATGACAAAGTTCTCTGACAAGTGAGTTTGGGTGATCCTCAAGGCTGCTTTTATAATTGTCTGAATGTGTTCGTAGTTCATTGCTCACTGTGTTGAAGTCGGCGACTTCATAAATTGAACATTTTTGAACATATTTTGGGGCATTCAAAAATTCTATTGATCATTTATTCTAACATCTTTGAATTTCTTAACATGTTTGATTTGAAAGCTGAGAACAAATATGTCTCATCAGTAAAAATTGAGTACATATAGTTACACTATTTAATCAAGGTTTTATACCAAAAACTATAAATAATATATTTTTACATTATGAAAATCATAATAGTGGAATGCATTTTATTTCGAAACTGTACAATTTTAAATAAAAATTCCTTGTTCAATAGTAGAATTTCTATTTTTATAAATTAACAATCAAATATAAAAACTGAACTTATCAAAAATATCAATTACTTTTTAAAGCACTCATAATGTCTTACTTTATCAACTTGAACTGGAAAAGTTCCTTCTGTAAAATATTTATTTGTGATAAGTATAATATTCATTCATTTTAAATTTTGTTTATTTATAAATTTTTCAGTATGTTTTTTTTCGACATTGTTAAATATTCTGGAATTTTTGAGTACTTAAAGAAATTGTTGAATTATTTGCCTTAAATTGAAAAAAAAATCAATTTATTTTATTTAAAAACTTTGAAACATTTTTATAAAAATGAAACCTTTCTAAATATTAATTTTTTTTATTTGATAAAATATGATAGTGTTGTACTATAAGTACAACATAAGTATAAGTTGTACTATAGTAATTTATGTTAAAAAGTGCGTTGATCTCAATTCAAATGACTCACGAAATTGCCAAATGATTTTCAATAACGAATATAAACGCGCCGGGTGTTCAGTATAACTTCTTGCTTAGATGCAAGAACAAAACATCATGAATCAACTTCATTATTTCTTTGCAAGTATGATATTTTAACATATAAACTAAATTTATATTTCTCGCCAATAGTTTATTTAATTTTGTTTAAGTTTGCTTTGTCATACACGTGTTAATTTGTAATTGCAATTATATGAACAATATCAATACTTTAAAATAAATATGTTAATACATCCAACTAGTTTCTCAAGTCATTTAAGAAGTGTTAAAAATATTTTCGGTATTTGACGAGTAATAGTTTGATGAAGCGCCTCGATAGCGTGTTAAGGGGCCATCAAGACCTTTTGCCAATTTTAATTAGGCATCATAGCATTTCCTGAAAAGGCAGAGTTTTCGAGAACATCGTTACAACAACTTTTCATGCGAAATTAGTAAATTGATAATTAATGATTTTAGTTAATTTTTAAGTTTTATGAAATTATTGTATATATTTTTTATAAAGTAAAACAGCTGTTCTTAAGAAATGTTAAATTTTGGCTTACACAAACACAGATACTTTTTTCAAATTTGGCGCTGAACGGCCCAATCACTAGACATGAAATTAGCAAATCGATTTTTTAATACATGATCAGGATAATACATGAGCTTTTTCTTTGTGAAGTTTAAGATATTTGTAATATTGTGTCAGTATAGTTTGAATATTGATAATACAATATTTCGAGTTTGAAATTGATTAATGCCTTGATTCTGGCGATGAGCAATCCATTAGTAAATGTTCACTGCGTAAAATTTTTAAATCAGAAATAAAAATAAGCCGAGTATCAAAATGAGGATTTAGTTACAAAAATAATTGCAAATATAATAGAAATATAAATTTCAAACTAAGAAGGTTAAAAGGAAAATATTAAGAAAAATGGGATAAAAAGAACTATCGGCAGGAAGGTTGTATTCAATCTTACACATATACAATTTATTAGCAAAATATCGTTGATATTGGTATAGCACTTTGTATGACTGAATATTATTTAATGTGTCGTGATCAATGTTGTCAATCAATGTATCAATGTATCCTTGTTTTTTCTTCAGTGTAACGCCGCGGTAGGAGTGAAAGCGTTCTTCGACATGATGCACTCTGGTCCTCACAAGCTGATGCTGTTCGGCGCTGCCTGCACGCACGTCACCGATCCGATAGCGAAGGCCTCCAAACACTGGCAACTGACGCAGCTCTCCTATGCCGACACACATCCGATGTTCACCAGCGAGGCGTTTCCCAACTTCTTTAGGATTGTTCCGTCGGAAAACGCTTTCAATGCGCCGAGACTCGCTCTACTACGACAATTCAATTGGACCAGGGTCGGAACAGTGTACCAGAACGAACCTAGATATTCACTCGTGAGTTGATAATAGATAGTGCAACTAGTTAAAACAAATATTTATAGAAATAATCATTTATTATATCAATCGAGGCCCATAATCGACTCGTCGCCGAATTGGATATGCTGGGACTCGAAGTGGTTGAAACACAAAGTTTTACTACGGATGTCACAGACGCGCTGTGGAAGTTGCGCAACAAAGACGTCCGGGTGATTTTGGGCAATTTTAACGAAAGTTGGGCTAGAAGAGTTTTCTGCGAAGCATTCAGGTGATACTTCTTTTATTTGAATAGTAGACAAACGTTTTCAGTTTTTTTTGAATTTCTTCATATGCTGCTTATAGTTTCCTTCATCAGCTGCATCTCCATTTATATCATTTTAGATTTGAGATGTTTGGTCGTGCTTACCAGTGGCTTATTATGGGAAACTATAATTCAGAATGGTGGACTAAGCCAACAGACATTAATTGTACTGTAGAAGAATTAACAATTGCTTTAGAATCGACTATCCTGACCGATCTGTTACCTTTGTCTACGTCGGGACACATTACAATCTCAGGAATCGTAAGTAAAAAACGTAGTCTCCTGTTTTGTATTGTCAATATGTTATTAAAATTAAATCACCTTAAGACGGCGGACGAGTATCAAGCCGAGTACGATAGCAGACGAGGTAACGAGTATTCAAGATTTCATGGATATACATATGATGGAATTTGGGCAGTGGCTATTGCCATACAGCACGTTGCCCAACGCGTAAAGTCTCTGAAACGTGAGCAGTCTGTGGCAGATTTTAAGTATCGTGATCCTATGTGGGGCGCTCTGTTTCTGGAGGCGCTCAAAAATACCAGCTTTGAAGGAGTCACGGTATGGTAAAATCATAATAATTTGTGAGGCTAAATTAATTTGATGTGAAAATATAATTTCAGGGTCCTGTGAGGTTTTATGATAATGAACGTCGCGCCAGCATTTTACTCAAACAATTTCAAAACGGAGCTGAAGTTAAGGTAATAGAAATTTGAGAACATTGGTTTGTCCATTCTAATCAATTGCAATGATTGTTTTTATCGTATTTAGGTTGGAGAATATGTACCGAACACTACTGACCAGCATGAAAGGCTGGATCTGGAGCTTGGCGAGCCGTTGCGCTGGATAGGTCGCGCTCCGCCTAAGGACAGGACACTCCATCTAGTAGAACACAGCCAGGTCAATATCACAATTTACGCTGTGCTCGCTAGCTGCGCCGCGCTCGGCATCGTTATGGCTTCCGTGTTTCTAGCCATCAATATAAAATACAGAAATCAGAGGTACTTTATATACCTACATTCACACAGAATTCATCTTATATATTGTTAACAATAATTTATTACTTTCTATAGGTACATCAAAATGTCCAGCCCGCATTTGAACAATTTGATCATAGTTGGCTGCATGTTGACATACCTCAGTGTAATATTTCTTGGACTTGATAGTGGTCTCAGCAGCGTTCGCGCTTTCCCTTATATATGCACGGCCAGAGCTTGGTTGCTTATGGCTGGTTTCAGCCTTGCGTTTGGAGCAATGTTCTCGAAGACATGGAGAGTTCATAGCATATTTACGGATGTTAAATTAAATAAAAAGGTATATTGTAAATGTGCAAAAAAAAACAATTTTTTTTTATTTGCCCTGAATATTTATATTCATAGGTAATCAAAGATTATCAACTGTTCATGGTCGTAGGAGTCCTGTTAGCCGTAGATTTAGCAATTATGACAACTTGGCAAGTTGCAGATCCGTTTTACAGAGCGACAAAACAAATGGAACCTTATGTTCGTATTTTTGTTACTGCTGTTACTTAGTATAAGTTATTTTACTAAAATTGTATTTTATTGAAATAGCCTCATCCTACTTCGGAAGATGTGCTAGTGGTGAGAGAAAATGAATATTGTCAATCTGAAAGAATGACGATATTCGTAGGTGTAATATACGCTTACAAAGGACTATTAATGGTAATTTTCCATTAATTTAATCATTTTTAAGGTATTAATTAGATTATAAGTAAATGTAATTTTTAGATTTTTGGAGCGTTTCTGGCCTGGGAGACACGTCACGTTTCTATTCCCGCGCTCAATGATTCTAAACATGTCGGACTATCTGTCTATAATGTCGTGCTGATGTGCATCATGGGTGCAGCAATAGCATTAGTCTTATCTGACCGTAAAGATGCCATGTTTGTTATTATATCATTATTTATTATTTTCTGTACAACAGCTACGTTATGTCTCGTATTTGTACCAAAGGTAATTATCTATATTGAACGTATATTTATCACTCCACATTTTATTATATGATCGTCTTGTATATTAACAGTTAGTGGAATTACGTCGAAACCCAGGCGGAAGCATCGACAAGCGAATTCGGGCCACGCTTCGACCAATGTCGAAGACGCGGCGAGATTCTTCAGCTTGCGAATTAGAACAGCGTTTACGCGATGTTAAAAATACGAATTGTCGATTCCGAAAGGCGTTGGTAGAACGCGAAGCTGAATTGCAAGTGCTAATGCGCAGACTTGGTCCAGAAGCAAGAGGTTTACTAGAAGGTAAACGCCCTGGGGGTGACGCACCTCCACCAGCGGCGTCCAATAATAATGCTCATAGACTAACGGTTCCACTTTTGCGCTGTCCGAGCGCCAGCGAGACCACCGCACCTCCAAGTGCTACCGAAACAAGTGATATGACCTCCATTGTCAGTTTGTCTTCGTCTCAGGACTTAGTACAGCCAGGACAAACCACGCCGGGGCAAAAGTATGTTTATAAAATTCAACGTATCTACAAAATTATTTATAAATATCAATAATTATTTTGTACACGTGTTACAGAAAACTAAAAATACCGGATACGCCTCCGCCAGAACCGGCTGATGTGCCCATCACTACACAAACCGCTCAAATAACACAACAAGAACCACCCTCTCAGAAACAATCACAGGTGCAATCACTTCCACAGCCGCAACCTGAGCCTCAAGTTCAACAGACAATTTCAGAACTTGCCACAGCACCTGCTTTATCTGAACAGCCTGTCCAAGTACAATCGATAGACCCACCCCAGGATAAAGTTAGAAGTGTTTCTTTCGGACATCACGATGCTCGTCAACTAAATGGGAGTGTAACACGACCCGATGTAGGAAATGAATCGGAACGACGTAGTAGAACGCTACAGCAGAGCTTCGTCGTTTCCCAGAGCGATTTATGGGACACGGCAACATTGGCACATAATAAAATTTGTACGAGACCTACGCGCACCTGTCCTATGGCAGCCGAGTCGTCGCCTGGCAATCGAAGACATTGCACCGCATCTGACAGCGCTCAAAGTCCGGCGCAAAGCCCTATGCACCGAAGCGTGTCCGAAAAGAATAGGCATCGAAGTCACAGGCACAAGACGAAGCAGCAGCCCAGCCAGCAACAGCAAGCATTGCAGATCCAGAGCCTCGATATGGAAGCCAGTAGATGCGGCCCATTAACGCGAAACGCTCGGACCCACCATCGGTCTACGCCGGACGTGGCCAGAATTGCTCCCTTGTCAGCCAGCAACGCCGCAGGCCCGGGCGCGCAGCTTAAGAATTCCGCAGTCCATGCCGCCAGCTCGGAATCGGAACTTTTAGACGGCACTATTTTACCAATATTCAGAAAACTATTAACCGAAAGAGAACCGAGGCGCGGCGCCTCAGGAGCGGCTGTGGGTGCTAGTTGTCCAAACATTTCTATTAAATGTGATATAGTCGAATATCTGTAGTGACTGTCGCCTCGTGGGTGCTTAAACTAATATTAAATACTCGAAACTAAGTTATCGGCTGTTATTTTAACGAAATTGTCAATACTTTTTATCGATATTACGTGTTAATATGCGTTAGTTGTTAGGTAAATAGAGATTTACATTGATAAAGTAATTGATCATGTTCGAATATAATAATACTGTAGATAGTGGTTACGCATTTCAGGTTCACACTGATTAATACAAATGTTCTGCTGTCAATTCTCATCAATTTTAATTTAGCATTCAACATATCACATGAACACAGTATGATTACCTATTTCTATGAAAGATGTTCAGTTCAATTTTCATTTCACTTGACATTAAATGAGTTTTTCTATGATTTGGTGATGATAACGAGTTGCTCTGTCACGCTAAAGTTGTAGTCAAATTAAAGAAGGGCATTGAATAACTCTTGATATAGCTGTAGCTCGTAAAGTGTCTAGTACATACACCGGCAATTAGTGCCTTAAGTCAAGATTATAGCAAACCTATTGTCATCGCAGAAGGATTTCAGAAGCTTAATATTAAGATCATGTTCTTTACCAAATACTGAGTCACATCTAACAGCTATATGAATTGTCCGACTTCACCAAATTTATATTGCTCATAATTATTAGAACCTTACAATTGAAATAAAAACAGTGTAATAGTTTATGTACCCGCTAATGAACATACGGCACTAATGGTAAGCAAATTCATTAGAAATATAAACACACAAGTGACTAAATGAGTTAAACGAGTGGATTAAAAACTTTTATTGTAGAAACATGTGTAAACAAAATTGAACTATTTAATATTTTGTTCGCAATGTGTAACTTTGATAAATAGACTTTTATTAAAACATAGAGTTTTGTGTAAAGTGCAAATGAGTACTAGTGTATTGATATATATGTATGAAATCTCTGTCAATTTATTAATTTAAAAACATAATTATCAGTAAAATGATAAACATGACTGGCATTAAATTATATATTATATATATATATATATATATATATATATATTATTTATGTAAATATTAAATATCCAACAAATTTGTTATACTTAATCATAATTTTACTATAGATTACTAAAACAACTCACGATCAGGTGTAAAGAAGGTATCAGATGGCAAAGCACTATTTGGGAACACAAATTCGTGATTTCTCAAAACTTTAGGTAAACTTCTAATTCTGTTGAATAACAGGTGAATTTTGATGCAAGACCTCGTGTCATTTTACAAAACTCAGCTTGCAAATAAAACTAAATAATTTGCGAAGACTATACATTAATTCTTGACAGACATCCATTAATCTGACTCGTAGCACCAGATACTTTTTATAAAATCACTAATTCTATTATATTGTTATACAATATTTTATCACATATTTATTTACCATGATAGATGTAAATAATTTAAATCCTGAATTGCTTTGCGCATATGTCCAATTTAGTAGCAAGTTGATTTGTGTATATGCTAATTATTAATTTTTACTAATGTGTGTATGTATATAGTAGATTATAATACCTCGAAATTAATATAAATTGATACGCACTTATATGTAAGTAAAAGATAATTTACAAAAAAAAAATTGTCGTTTTATTTTTCTGTTACTTTGGTATTTTAAATACGCGAATATACACGAAGATCAGAATGTATGATTGTCGTTTGGTTGTAGGCTAATAAGAAAGGTATTTATTATTATAATACATAGCATAGGATAAATGAAGCATTTCTTGATGTGCATTAAATAAGGTTCATATGCTTTTGCAAATTATTTTTGCGAAGAGGGGGCCGAGCCGTTTTTCTATAATTAGCACATAAGTAAGTCCGAAATTGTTCTTCCACGTTTTTGTAACGAATCTTGAACCTTTTTAGAAAATTCAAAGACAGTTCAAAGTATATCAGTTGTAAATTACGAGTAGTAAAGAGTCGTTTCTTCTATTCGTGATTTTTTTTTTTTCAAACTTCATATGATCATGGTGTTCACGTT